AATTGTATCTTGCAACAAATATGTGCAATTTTGGATTGATAAATAGTTTTATCTTTCTACCTTTCTATGTAGTCTAATATATAATATGTAAGCGAATATTTGTATCTATCCTTTCCACTGTAATCTTAAATATCTTCCTATAATATGTTTCACGAAGCCGGTTTACATACCTATATTTTTCAAAGTACATACAGGCAGAGTTGCACAGTGTAGTTAGCTCTTAATCAGACGGGCTTAATTCAAAGAACTTTGTTCGACAGCAAAAAATAACCTCAAAACATATATAACCTGATAACACGGCCTTAGCTGACCAAACATCGAATATTAGATCGTAACCACACGGCACCCCTGTCATAAAGGAAAATTGGAATTTCGGCAAGGGCACGGTAACACGTGGCGTTTCCCACGGTCGAATTAACAGCGCGCTTGGTGATGCCCCCAGTGTAATTGGAAGCACTGTTTGGCTGGAACTCGGTAGGGATGCCAACCGTACGGGGATCCTCGTGGAAACTCCAGATTTTTGGAGTACAGGAGAATATTTTCATTCTCATACAAGTTTATACGAGTATCTGAACTATCGAAGTCCGGCAAAACGTTATATTATTAGTAATTACAACTTAGAACAATTCATACAGGATCATCTAGCCCAAAGCTAAGCAGAGGTATGTAGGGTACAGACAGCTGATAGAAATAATTAAGCACTTATGTATATTTTTTTGTAAATACACAAATTATATACGTTTAAAATACCTAGAACAATACCAACAATTATACTCATGTTTGCAATGTCTAAGTAATCGTATACATGACTATTGGAATTAAGCTTAAACCACTGAACCACCCAGACCATTAAATTAAGCTAATTTACAATAATTCATTAGATTTTTTATTCTTTAGCACGAGGCTGGGTTTTAAGGTTGGCAACCCTGGAGGTTGGAGCCCCTCGAAATGGTTACGATATGAAATTCACGAGCTTATTACAGATAGATCGGAAGTTTGTTTGCTGAATGTGGCGAAATTAAAATGAACCAACATTGACTTTTGATTTCGTTTCTGTGTTTTATATATCTATTTATATAATATATTTAAATATCTATTTGTATAATATTTAATAGGTACAAGTAGTTAAATGATAGGGTGATTGAACAGGTGTAATTCAAATACGAAAGTAGAAAGATGTAGGCTTCAGAGAATAAGTAGTTAAAAGTATCCGGAACCAGTATGAAAGTGGTTAGAATAACGTAGTTAAACGGTTTTACATACCTACCTACCCCGTATGGGATAGTTAATATATAGTTTATAATGACAAGATATTTTACTGAGTTATGTGTTATTATTTTTTTAATTCCGCTCCATTAATACATATGAGATCACAAATATTGAGCGTGGTGGACTCCTCCTTTATTAATGGATTTATTTTATTTTGCCTATAGAAAAGGTCGTAATGCTTATAATGGGTTTATTTATTTAGTAATGCTTATAAGCATTGCTTTTTCTATAAAGCAGGCAAAATAAAACAAATCCATTAAGTAACAATCGGATTACCTAAAATATTAAAACGCTATTACTATAGCGTTATAAAACGTATACTAACCTGAAAGTTAGACATATTTTCTTGTAACTGAACCAATTTCACCAAGAAATAAAGTGGAGATAAATTAATAAATTTTGAAATTATCATAACAATATCACGCAATTATATGATATTAATTCTTGCATGTGTATCCCTTTTATAGGTATAATACATAAAATTCCATCGCAAACACAACAAAGTTCGGTGACGACATTGCGTTGTGTAAAGCGCTTTAGCAAAATGTCCATATTTTAAATTTGTTTCTGTCCAATTTAAAAATATGTAAGTACATATAATATAGCATACTAACCTCCTGCGTTACCACTTTTAACAAATTCGTGTAATACCACATTTTTATATCTAGGTATATATGTCGCAGTAGTTGATTATCCAGTCATTGTTACGTCTAGGGATGTTATTTTTAAACTTATTGTTACTTAGTAAACTTATTATTGTTGATATAATTAATCTGGTCTTTACGATAAATAGATTATTTTCTCGACGTTTCGATTAATTCGCACTAGCCATGGTCACAAGCTAACTTGAGTACAGCGATATCAATGTCGGTAAGCCAGCAGTTTTAACAACTACCAAACAAATTATCCAAAGAAATGCCGCAACCCAGCCGAAAAGTCATTTCTATAAAATTATTCATGTTAGGACCTGATTAATTACTTACCTATATTAATAATGTCTAGAGAAGTTCTAATATAAGTAAATACGAGTCGTGTAGCGGCATATAAATAGCCTCAACATTCTGGAACTCAACTAGACCTACAGGGCGTCCTTTTATAAACTTATGTAGTCTCTGATTGTGCGGCAAGAAATACTCATAAAATAACGGTACGGTACCAACTGACCTGCAATCCAATCTGGAGCACTGTTAAAGAACAATGCGCACACCGGATCCAGGCAGAAGAAGACAGAATGCAGGAAAACGGAGTCTTTTGCAGAATAGGCCGAACGTCACTAGCGGAATAGTTTGTATAACAGTCAATGCAGAAGGTATCTTCATTTAGCAGTAATTTTTCAGAAGTGTAGGTATAAATACACAATAAATGATTATATAATTTAGAAAAAGCGGAGCATAATATGGATAATTCTTATGACAATTTTAAAAATAGAAAACAAAAGACGGCCAGCGTTCATTACATATTTTCTTCTTTTTTTATTTGAAAGAATATCTGCCTTATTAGAGGTCAGTTACATATTTCACTCCAATAACGTAACTCCAGTGCGTGTATAGTGCGTTTAAGGGGTCTACCCTCTTTAGACGGGCAAAGATAAGGCTATTTTCACGAATTTTTTTGACCGGTATACGTCATAAATATGGACATAAAAAGTGTTAGGCCTAAAAAATACACTATTTGATTACACAAGAATTTTTTTTTATATTTATTTTAATCAGTTTTTATACATAAAAATGAGGGAGAAGACTGGTCCAAAAAAAAAGATGAGTGTGCGCTGTTGATGAAATATCTGGAATGGATGACCTGAAAAAAAAAAAAATAATAGTTTTAGATTCAGTAAGTAAATGGCTATAGCGCATATCATACGATTTTTTTTTTTAAAAAAAATGACAAAATGGCAGCTATTTTTCGAAAAAGTACGAAAAATCACGTTTTTTTCGTCGTTCTTTGCCAAAAATAAATAGTTAAACTCAAAATTTCAAAAATCGTATGATATACGCTATAGCTATAGTCATCAAGAACATGTGGTTAAATTTTGGTAAGGTTCGGTTGAATAGTTTCGGAGATTTTATCAACAAGCCGTCCAAAAACATCATTCCGAGAAAAACGCGTTTAAAGTTTTCTGTAACGAAAAATCGTGAAAAAATCTTACTTACGTCTAATCAGCGATGTCTGCACCATACATTATGCCTTCATCTTCTTCATAGTGCACATTTTCATCCAAAATAGCCTGCCTTCGTTTCGTTCTGGCTTCCTTAGAGACATCGGTGCTGCGGCGGTTTGCAACTCGTATGCGCGTTCTGTCACAGTCAGCAGCAAACTGTGCGGCGATCGGGCCGATTTTGACGCCCATTACTTCCAAGATTTTTAATACTGGATGAAATCCTTCGTTAAAAATACAAGCAGCTGTTTGACAAGCTATTTCAACAATTTTTTTCCGCAAAAGATGTGTTTGGGAGCCATTGACCAGACACAGTTGTTGAAAGATTCGTTATTATTCTGCGTGTTGCCACCGAGGCATCTTTCAAGCAGTTCTTGTTTTGTGAAATCGTCGTAGATCGGTTTTAAAACTTCTCGCTGTCCATACTTTGTAAAAGAAATATCTTTATCACAAGTTTTACACTTTAAATACTCTTGCAACGTAGAGAAAACCAGGAAAAACTGTATAATACTGTATCCCGACGTTTGATCCACGTGTACGTCGAAACTGGTATCTTCCGATTGTTGTAACTTCGACGCAGATGCACTAGCATAACTTGTATTTGCCTCGTGGTCATGTGGAAGCACTCCATGAAATTTCCGCTTTTTCGGCTTCGAACCTGGACGTCTCCACTTAGCAGTTTGATTAACACTTTTCTTGTCCATTTCGGTAATCACGAGCACAGATACTGACGGTTGAATTTTTCAAATACGACTAATATAGGGAGAAATTCTAATGGAACGTTATCTAAAGGCTGTACCGCTCCGAGCGGTCCGCATATTAGCGCGCTCAGGTAGCTACGTAAACATCGTCCAAAAGTACAGTTAGACTACTCGGATCTTTATAAATTTTCAGTATGATACTTTTAAATATGTATACTTTCGAAAAATAAAAAAAAAAAAAATTCGATTTTTTCAAAATTCTAAAGAGGGTAGACCCCTTAACGGAACATGCTGCTAATAGGTGACCGATAGATTATAGATATGTAATGTCTATCTGTCAAGTAATATATAAGTATGTGGAAGGTAAATTAACAAACGGCCTAAACAACGAGCGAGTAGTCGATAATTTTGTTTCGATACCAAATAGGAACTTTTGATAATGAAAGAATTTCTCAAATCGAAGTAGTGGTTCCAGAGTTTACTACAAGACTCACTCATCTCGGAACGAAATTTATTTGATACTACCTTCCTGCTACCTTATAAATTACACTTACTACACAATTGCAAATAGACTATTGGGCACAGTCTAGCGGTTTAGTAAACTGCTTTACTGCCGATGGTCACGGGCTCGATTCCTCGCTCAGTGCAAACATTTCTATTCATGAGTAAAATTTTTGTATCGGTCTGTGTGTTTGTTATGTATATATTATAATTATATTTACACAAATATATGTATATATACCTATACTATACCCATTACTCATGCTCTGCATAGCTCAGAAATAGATGGTGTTGTGTGAACTGTCAAGGGATACTACATATTCAAAATAAAGCATCAGTAAAATAAAAAGCTTTTATTTTTCGAATAGATTTTATTCTTACAGACAATTCCATTATACTTTATTTGTATCCTAAATACAGATAGACAAGTATGTACGGATATTAACACTTACACTAATGTACATACTAATTAATCTTGATTCACAGATATATAATATTACGTTCAGAGTCACGAAGTAAAACAGATACAACTATGGTAATAAATAAAGTAATATCCTTTATGTATATGTAGGTATATAATATTTCTATTGTAGGTATACCTACTTGGTATTTGTACAGATTTTTAATACTGGCAGCAATAAAATTAGAATAAAAAATGTCATATTTTTTTTCATTATCGTTGCAATACCAGCCAGTATATGACATTATATATTCATAATTCCATTTAAATAATATATATATATATATAGGTATATATTGTAATATAATATCTTTTTAACTGTTACGCGTGACAGTCATTAATAGTTCCATAACTGTTATATTTACATAGTAAGTACACCCGTTACTTTTTTACATGTATTTCTAATGTGTTTCGTGACTAAGAACATAATAAATATTGCAAGTATATTGTTGTATGAAAATTCATTCGTCATTCAAAAATGTTTCGCCTTTAAAATGTAAGTATTTACAATGCAATTACTTATTATTCATTTTAATTGGATAATTAAGCACATCCAAATCATAGCTACAATAGTAGAGACTTATGCAAAACAAAATATATAAGTATGTATATTAAATTATACTAAAGTTTTTAACAAAATCTTCATATGAAACTCTTGAAGGTTTTGTTAATAATTTTATAGCACAATGTAAGTACTTTATATAATTTAAAAAAATAACTTGAAATGATCAGTAATTAAAAAAAAGTTGAGATATTTACGGTTGTTACACTTAATGTAATATTTAATATAATATCATACAATTTCACGTTTTCATATATTGTATTTACATTTTATAATATTTACACAAGTGTCTCTTAGTAATTGTCTAAATTGATTGTACTTATTTTAAACAATTAATCCATAGTAATATACATTTATTAATATACAAAAAACAAAATGCGTTGAATTGCCATCTATATTAATATAGGAACCAAAATCCTTCCATAACTTTACCAAGATAACGCCATAGAGGCCTTTAAATAAATAATTTTAATAACTCAATAAATTATAATTATTTATTATAAAACTTTGTCTGTACACTTACACTAAGTATTCACAGTGTCGCTATATATTCACAATAATTATATACCTTCGTATTAATATAAATAAAGTATTGGACTAATACTAAGAATAGTACAATCATATTTTTTACATATATGAAATAATATCTAAGAAAATGAAATAATGCGTCTGCGTGCGTCTGTATCTTTGAAAACAACAATTTATTTATATATAATCTGTCAAATGTCTGATATATTAGTTAATGGAAAATAAGAGAGAATTGGCTAAGAAAATACGACTTTAAAGTTATATCAACAATATTGTCAACTCTGGTCATCTCATTTAAAGATCAAATCGTTAAAAACATACGTAATATTAATACGTAGGTAATCCAAATATATACTGAAATAATAAATTTACTAGAATTACAGTTGTTTTAAAACGTTAGTATACGGATTTCCTACAAATGTTCTTTGGGAGCAAATACGAGTGATAGTGGAAAATAGTAGTACGGATCTTCCAAATAAAATTCAACGTAATAATAATATGATGAATAAGGAAGAGAAAATTATGGATAAACATGTACTAACATATTTAGTTAGTGAAAAGTAAATTAAAAATTAAAAAAATAAAATTATTACATTAAAAAAATCATTGAAAAATTCAACAATTAAAAAGCAATTGTTCTTAAGTAAGAAATACTGGAACTAACTTGTTGGTAATGAGTTAAACCAAAGCCCATCACTGTAATACCTACGCAAACGATTGGATCCACCGCCATAACCTTGCCGATAGCAAATCGATGAAATGAGGATGCGTTTTTAGAACCCATTAGGAAGTCCATTGGAATCGTATTAGAGGAAAAACAATTGTAAGATAGCCTTGGAGATGCTTTTAACGATTTGCTTTACCTGAAAATACTGCACAAGTGACTAAGTAGATAGAATGAGACAGTAAATATTTGCCGTTTTTCTTTCGCTTACGTAAGTACGGTAGTAAAAGTAGCTAATGTTCAAGTGACTAATAAAATTGTAACCGTTCGCTGTCTGTATGTAAGATTTTCAAGAAAAACTGTTTTTGGGGGGTTTTGTCAACGTCATTGAACCCAAATTAGTTAGAATTTTTGTTTAATTGTCCTTTGCACGCTTATGTCAAAAACAGCTTTTCCCATTTGGTTACTGTTTTCATAATTATTTTGTGAGAAGCGTATTTAAAATTTAATGTTTGTTTAATTTCAATACATTTACAAACAAAACAGTAATTTAAACGTGTACGAAGTGGCCGGATCAAGCTAGTAAGAAAGATAACATAAATTACTTGAAAAACTAAAATCACAATAACACTGCGTCTTATTAACTTCACAGTTTATATAACACTGTTTAATAAGTCCACTTTGTAGCCCGTCGAGCCGCATCAGTCGTGGTAGTCTCGCGGCTCTGGCTTCAGCTACCACACCAGACCCTCAGGATGCAAAGGTGGTGGAGCGTCGCCGAAGGTGAACTCGGGCGACGAGGGCCGAGGGAGGACGAGGTGGTCTGGGGGCGGGAACTGTTCAGGGAACTCGCCTCCCGGCAGCGTCTCCATTCCGCCTGCGAACCGACCTACTCCCGTTACTATTATGGTTTATGCAGTATGGTTACATTGAAGTTTCATGCATGCATGATTTTTTTTGTGTTGTGATTTTGTTGAAGACTCTTCTAATAGAAAGTATTAAACATCGATTGAGACGTGTGTCTCACTATGTTTTAATATGAAGGTTGAGACGAGAGCAACGGGCGTCTTGTAATAATTTATTTGACATTTCATTTCAATAGAAACAAATTATTCATCAGGTGAGATGTCAGAGTATTCCAGTTTGTACTTGCAATTAAAAGAGTAGTTACAGGTAAAAAGTCTACCAACCTGGCTGATTAAACGGCATCGTCGGGGGAGGGTGAAAGAAAGGCGCATCATGGTGGAACGGCGGGCCATAACCAAACTCGAACTTGCCATCTGCTGTCGCGAAGTACGGAAACCCCGGCGGCCCTTCTTCGAGACCACCGGGCGACAGGTTCATGGGGAAACCTCGCATTTTCCGCGAAGAGCCGAAAAAGGGCCCCCTACCCATCGATGTGAGCTGCTTCAAACGACGTTCTTTTGATCGCTTGTTTTGGAACCAGACCTGCGAAACAAAAGTTGTTATTAAAAACTTATAGGAAGAATTATTTAAATAAAGCTTTATTCCTTTATTAAAATGGCTATGACGACAAAACCAGACAAAATTATCATGAAACATATCAAATCTTAATATATTTATTTAGAACCTTTCGGCCTCTTATGCACATCATAATCGAAGTCATATAGTTATTATCGAAGCTTATTATCGAACCAAAGGTGACGGTTACCGCTTTTCATCAGGATACACCTGATGAAAAGCGGTCAGTTTGTTTGTCATTCTATGTATAAAAATATCATATAGGCCAAAGAGTTGTAGTAAAAACTAGTAAAGTAAAAAGTAAATCGGTTCAGAACTGTTACAGAAAAGAAAAAATCTAATTTCAAATATTGACAGAAAATACACAACTTAATATGTGCAGATATCGAAATCAAAAGCTAATGGACTAATTTGTAGCACAGCTCACTTTTGTTATTAACCGTGGTAACATTAGTAGTTTACCCATCTTTAGCTCGTAACCCCTTTCTTCGATGAATTCTGATAAACTTATAAACTAGAACATAACGGTACAAAAATTACACAATATTTCTGTACGAATAGGGCCAAACCCCATCAGATTAACTTTTTGAATGCGAATCAGTGGGCAATTCAAAATGAGTAGACAGTTTATTTTTATATCTCCTTTAAGAATTACATTCGTCAATTTACGTAACCGCAAATAAAACAGCATCTCGCCGAAAAAAACGTGTAAAAATCGTACGACTTTGTCGGTCGGTCACAAAATATTACACGTTTTTTGTTTGAAAACCACATTGAAGATTTTGCGGTCACTACGACTGTATTTGTTTACAGCCAATGAACATTACTCGGAGTTATTTTCATATGTAATCCCCTTTTGCCATAAATATACATTCTAAACAATAGGTATTGCTTTAGCCTTGGTTTTTATAAAGCCATTCAATTAGTCTCGTAGTCCAGTTTACAGACAATCTAGATATTTATAGGAATATTCATAAGCATATTGGTTGCCACCCATGCAGATCTGATTTGCTGAAAATTGCTCTAGGTTTTTATTGTATCTAGGCAATCTATGGCACAAGTCTAATATAAAACTGATGTGCAGATGGTCGTTAAACGTTCACGGTGCGTTATCGCCACTCAAGTGTTGTTTCATACCAATCCAATTCATCACTATAGGATGAAACGCCTACTAAATATTAAGTCATCTTACTCTAAACAAGCCGATCAATCTTTTAGAGCTTCCTTAGAGTAACAGATGTTGATATAGATTTACTAATTCAAATTAATTTATTATATTCTTTTAATAGAAATTAACTAGTAGTTTACCGCCGCTGTTATTTCAATCGTCAAGCAGTATAATTCGCAAGCTGTTTTGGTTGTAAGGTGTGATTAAGGAGTAAAATTACATTCTTGAGCATCATATGATAACGTGATGCGTAGTGCCCTTCCTGTACATATATAGAAGATGGTTACAATCAGGTAGGCAGTAAGTTTGTTTGCCATTCCAATTATAAAAAAAAGTTATTTCACCTTTTTCGAATTATTTTCTGAATCGCCACAAGCGGTTGCCGCGGTCGCGTGCCTCCCGCGAGTCTAATTCAAGCGTGAGCAAGTGATCATGATCGCAGTTCGTCTCGTGTGAGTCGATCATTATATTCGATATGGGTTAGGTGGGTGTGTTAACTCAAATCGGTGGCATGGTTTTAAAAGTGTGCCCTGACAATGACCCACTGATATTGTGCAATTATTGTTCTATTAGGGTAATTATTATTTTGTTACGAAAAACCAATTGCGATCTGTGAAAAAATTGGCAGTAAAATAAAACGTAATAATAAAAATAGATGGACTTGATAAAAGGCTAGAGAATATAAATATAGCTTTCATTTTATTATGTACACATTTCCTAAGAAAAGATTAATAAAAATAAAAATTATTTTGTCACTAGACAGTCTGTTAAGTATTTTTTTTATTTCTGTTTCAGCTGCGATGTCCCCGCGGTAACAGAAAAAAATAGTTGACCATCACAAAGCAAATATCCCTCATTACTAGGTTTCATGGGTATTGATTTAGCCGTTAACGAGTCAAGAGTAAAGATATCTATTATACCTACTTACAACTATGGAATACAAAAACCTAATTTATAACAATTTCTGCATTAAGAAAGATTAGTTATGTGATTGTTTTTGGTCTGCTTATCAAGGTCGTCTTATGTTGCGTATCATCCTTTCCATTAAATTCATAAATTGGTCACGCACTCATACAAATCTAATAACCTATTTACATACAAAATCATTCTTTATCTAAAATTAAGTACCTAGTTACCTGTTTAATTAAAAACTATTCTTTCGTGAATCACGTTTTTCGATGAAGCTAGCATATGCAACTATTTTATAGCTTCATGTCAAGCTTCAAGGATTATTATAGTATATAAAAGTAAAGGTTCTAAGTATGTAAATTTGATGTACTGTACAAGTATTTATGATATGTATTTATTACAAACGATAAATGCTTGTAAATCTTATTAGGTACCTACGCAATTATTAAGAGTCTGTTGTAACTGGATAATCATAAATATATTAAATTTGTACTTGTGTTTTTACATTATTAATAAGAAACTTTGGAAAGAAATCTAGATGCTTGTATATTTGAAGCCTTATGAAATGTATTTGAATAATTACTTATAGAATATAGCTAGAATTTATCTCAAATAACACATAGAATACTTTTATCCTAATCTACGGCGGATCCCATTACCCACGGGAAATGGATTTCAAGGTTTTTTAAATCAAACCAAATGCAAATTGGAAGCAATGCAGTTTGGTTAAGCTCTATGTTCATATCGATGAGTTTGCACAAAACATTTGTTTCCAGAAATACGTTTTATTGAAGAGGTATAAAAAAATTGAAAACAAAAGCGTCATTGTAGCCGGAGCACGCTAGCCCGCTGCGCGCGGCACTTTGATCGCACCGCCGCGCGCCCACGCATGCATTTGCACAGAAAACCCATTTACAACCTGTAACAAACTGATCCAATTCTAGAGTCGTGATTTTGATTAATGGACAGTTTTAATCGAATGGTCCTTTGTCGTGTTCGTGCATAACGTTTGTCGGGCTGTATGTCACCTGACGCTGTAATGTCTCCCAGTTTAGACTTGCCTACACTTTGTAATGGGGTGCGGCAATAAAAGTGAAAAGATAATCTGTTGCAATGTCGTAAAATATATTAACTTGATTATTCCTTTAAAAAGCTCATGGAATTAGAAAATAAATTTTCCTAAATATAACTTTGTATAAAATCGGCTGCGTGGGTATCTTGTTACACCTATTTCCGCCGCAAAATAGCTTACTTTACAAGATTTATATATCATATATAATATATAAATATTTTGTTGAAGGGTAAGAACGTTATAGTCGTAAGGCAGTGAAATTACAAGTACGGTTATATGATACCGTAGTGATATCCCATAATAGGTACGGGCGAAGATCAAACGGAACTAGAATACCACATAAATATATAAGTTGTTGAGTTTGCCACAAATTGTAGTTTCTTCTTTGTAAGAAACGTAAGTAATTAGGTAATTAGAAATGGTTAAATTATCTAAAACATATGTATAATACAAGGAGTGTAATAACGTTTAATTATAATTGTTTGCATCGGTCTGGGTGTCAACAATGTATATTTTGTAATTATTTGTATAAAAAAAAATATCTATATATATATATTAGTTGTCTAGTACCCATAACACAAGATCTACTTAGCTTGAGACTAGGTGGCGCTGTGTTAATTGTCCTGTGATATTAGTAGATAGATATTATTTCCTAAAAGATTACTGCACTTGCATATTGTCGCTATATTAAACCCTGTATCTAACCTATCTATCCTAGATCGAACCTTATATTACTGTGTTTTTTATGTATATTGAAGTATTTATTACATAAGAGAAAACTTTGTTAGTTACCCGTATTCTTAAAATTACGTAATAAAAGTTCGGTGGTTTTAGCGTAATAGACTGACATCGGATTTGTTTATATTTAAAATTTGTGATGTGACGACTGACGACCTTAGTTGTCTAGCGGTTTAGAATATTGTTTCATCTTCTGATTGTTGCGGCTTCAATCACCACGCAATGTACGAACGTATATAGGTACATGAGTTTGTAGTAAATACAAATAAACTTGTCTCAGTATTAAACTGAGATGTTTATGCATCTACCTACTACACCATTGCGTTTAATGGAAATCTGCTTGTCTTAATCATTAATAATTTATTAAATTAATAAATGGTAAGTACTTACGAAAACTTGGCTATCGTAACCACAAGTATTATTATTGTATGACAATTCAATTTCCCAAAATGTCGTAATAGCCTCATAGTTAGTACTCGACTGAGTAGATTTTTTTAATCAGAACTCAACTCACAAGTGATTGGTAAAACAAATTATTTTTTGCGCCAAATGTGTTGACAGAAAAAAGAATGGAAATTACCCCAAATTATTAAGAAAATTACTTCGTAAAGTTGTAATTTCATTTCTTTATATCATCACCTTAATAAGAACTGTATTATGTTATTAACTTGTAATAAATTCAATAATGTTATAATTTATTAATTTGAATGTACCTATAAATTTTAGTAAAGAATAATATCTGCATTATGTTAATATTTCTTTATTTCAATGTTATTAAATAATAATATAATGAAGTGAAATTTTCTGCTATATCTTTTAAGATAAATACGTGTAGTTAATAAAATTTGTTTAAATAATGACGATTCCTTTTAAGAAAAATACCTTCATTTTTGATGTTTCTTTTTATTTATGATGTGTTCTAATACATACCTATTATATAAATCAGCTAATTATGTCATGTACCTAATGTATATAATGACGGCCTCAGTGGTCTAGCTGTTTAGCACACCGGCTTACTTCCGATGGTCGCGGGTTCGATTCTTCATTTCTTCGCAGGGCACAAACACTTGTATTTATGAG